GTTGCCTGAGGGAATCCCTCAAATGCCATGAAATAAATGGCAATGTTATCTAAAAAGGTACGAAATTTTAGTAAATAAGAACACTTGCAGTCAAATTGTTCTTTAGACGTAGCATCGATAAATTAGATCGATTCATGTCGTAATTTCTTTCTTTTTAACGTATTTTATATTAAATACTCTGAAACTTTATGAAATTATAGAATCTAGACGTGGGACATAATGATGCATCAGACGAAACCTTGGAATTCCCTTTCAATAGTATCGATATCAAAAAATGGGACAAAGTTTCCTCTTTCTCTCTAATTTTCAACCTTCAAATGGTATCTTGCAGATTGCTGAAACTCAGGATATTCAACTTCACTCTTTAACGAATTATTCGACGTTAATCACAAAAATCTGGAGCCACGAAATATCAAATTTGTCCAAGTGATAAGTTTCGATTTCTTTTTTTCTCGAAAATCTGAAATCCACAGAACGAATCGAACAACGAAGAGATAAAAGTACACCAGCTGTGCCTGTATTTCTCAGGGAGTCCAGCCGATCGACTAGAACTGGAGTGAGAACTGTTGTCGCGTTTGATTTGTCCAAAATTCGCGACTGAGCCGATTGCCTTGTCAGTCAATTGACTGACAAGAAAGAGCAAAACGCGCGCGTTTTTCACAATGCCAGGATAACTATAGTCAACGAGTTTAATTAATTCCCTTCCAGCTGCAACTGGAACAGCTATATTCCGCTCCTGGGATTGGCTGTTGCCAACGACGGGATGCGACTCGCGCCACCGCTTCCTGTCAGGATTCTACGCTACGATCGAAATAGACCTCCCCTTAGTCGTGACCTAATAGTCCGAGCATCAGCGACTGTCGCCGCCTTTCATTCGATTAGCCACTTCGATTGATCGAATAGGAACGACTATTAGGTTAATGAAAGACCCTTACGACTCAAGTCAGAAGTGGAAGAGCTTTAACAGTGGCACCTCGTTGATACTACGCTCGAGGAAGAGATTTTTGAATGATAATGGAGCCACAGTCTCTGGCTTTAATTACAAATTTACATTTAATCTCGACTCAAAAATTAATCATCACGATTCTTATTTAAATTGAAGCATTCAGTATAAATATCTTAATTAATAAATAATATTATAGATATAAATGGGAAAATTATATTTAATGTATAGTAAAAATTTGTACATTTTAAATACAATACACTATAGGAATCGATAAAGTAATTTCAGTATCAATATTGATTTCGTGCATTTACTGTACACTACACTACTGCGTGACGTTGATTCAAATATACTAAATTTATACGTAACTTTCAAAACGTTAGTCTTATTTTGTAAGTTGAAGACGAACTTACAATTAGATAATTATACAATTTCAAGAAATATTTTATATTGAAGATGTCTCTGTTTTGAATGATTCTTACCGCATCCAAAGCAGGATTGTTTCTTTCGGCCATTAATTTCAAAGTCGTTTGATCGTGTATCAACGATTGAGTAACGAGAATTTCTAAGATTTTACGTCAGATGTCTAAAGCTAAATCACTCGACTTACACGATCGTCTGAGATTAATAATCTTCGAACTAACAAAAATTCAATCGCCCTCCGAACGATGGTTGGTCTCAGTTCCTCCGAACAAATAATAACAACGACAAAAAACAGATCAATACAAAATCGTCAAGATGTTCTAGCTTCTAGTTTCATTATCAAGGCTGTGGATGAAAATTTCTGGACCAGAACGTCACCTAACAATTCACTTAAAAATCTCCGCTGCCTCGACCACCAACTTATTAAAAGTCTCTTCTGGAACTTCGAATGAAAATTTCGACGAGATCACGCGAGTTTTGGCAGAGAGATGAAAATACCAGATCCGTCCAGTGGACAATGGACGTGCGTGACATCGTCAGCAACCGATGCTATTGGGCTACCGATGCCGTGGGAGCTTGATGAAGTGCGCTTGAGTGTACTTGACGCAAAGACGCTGAATATGCAAGCTCACCGGATGCCGGTTGTCGGCACGATGTATTACTGCGGATCTTATCCAGACCGCTGTCATCCATATTGAAACCTATTTGCATTTCAAACTCTCCCGTACACTTCGAATCCACCCTCTCTCTCTCTCTCTCTCTATTCCATTGAATTTCTTTTTCTTCCCGATACCACCGAAAGCTCCGATTTTCTCATGCATAAACGAGCGACAATTAGAACAGCGACAGGCTCGCGTTCAAGGTGCCTCATTCGATTCGCGACAGAGTCCTCCTAGAAGTGAATCCAGAGAATTTGACTGACGAGATTTCTGCTCGTCAGAGTGAATCGAATTACCATTATTGAATTGTCTCCTTGGGTAAATATTGGACCAACGGCCGTACGTTGTTTCGTTATTTCGCGAGATCCGAGAGAATGTGAGTTGGAGGATTGCAACTCCATTTGGATCGCGAGAGGATTTTCGCACGCAGGTTTAGAAAATTCGACTGAGACGTTAACGAAACGAGGTGTCAACGAAATTAATATTATTGAACATTAGAAACGGAGCACCAGCCTTTTTATAAGACTTTATAAGATTATTTGAACGATCTAATTTTAGGATTTTATTTCAGACAGAGAATCTTTCAAGTGAATCTGGCGAATTTGACCGACTCGCTCTCTGCACAGTAAACTATTATTATCGAATTTTCCCGATAAGTTTGATTATTTTGATCGGCAATCTACCGTGACTGACGAAATTTAATTCCCCGCGCGAAAGAATCATCAATATTCAAAATTAGAAAGTTCAACTAATTCGGTCTCTGGAGATCAAATTGGAAATTTAGACTAGCGAATTTTGCAGTAGAATTTTAACAGAATTGAGACATTCGATTGACATTGTATTTGATAATAGATGAACTTGGAATTGTCGAATTTTGAAAATAGACAGAAAATATTCAATAATCATGTGAGACTGAGACTCTAATGAATAAATTGATTCTAGAAAGAAAATCACGTACTTGGTTTCTGAGAAATTGAAATTAAATTTAAAATTATTAAACTTTAAATGTTAAAAAATAGAAATCACTAAACTTCAAATGAAATTAACACTACTGAATTTTGAAAATGGACGTTGATACCGAAGATTGGCAGAAGTATCGTCGAAAGATCAAGAGCGCAGAATCCCCAAAGTAAATTAAAGAAATTTAATTAACCGGCTTTCCAGAGATATTGAACAGTAAATTGAATTACAATCCCGCCCGTGGGCTCTAAGAAGAGAAATTGAAACACAAAGTTATTCGATTATCTTACAAGCTCACCGAAATAATCGGAGATTTGATCCTACGATCCAATAATTGAAGGCTTTGTCGCCGTCGGTGACGGAAGCGAGTCCGATATTAAATTTCAAATTGTCTCTATGAAATCCTAAATCGTCCCTACCGTGGAAATATTATTCTTATGAAAAATATTCTCACATATCGAACACCTGCAAGGACCATTTCGCTGATAAAACTAAGGGGATCTCTCTCGTCTTGAGTGATTTTAAATCACTGTTCTTCAGCAGAGAAATTCTACAATCTGGAGAAACGTTACTCGACAGGTTTGACGATTCCTCTATTATCCCGAGATTTTCTTCACCTGTTAGCTGTGTGTAACGAGTATATTCTAAAATATCTGAAAATTATCAATTTAAAATTTTGAAAAATCAAAGTTCCAGTGGAAATCAAAATATATTTAAACTTTTCAAAAATTCAGAGATGTTAGAGTATTTTAATAAATTAAGAAATATTTTGATTATGAAAATTCGTTCAATCGTGATTTTAAATTTATTAGAATATCTACGTAGCTGTACAGCTTTTGGTAACAACGTTAAAACGAAATACAGATGAAATTTCTAATTTCCCATCTGATTCTTCCTATTTTGAATAATTAAAGAAATTGCGAATGTTCGGTGTTGCATATAATATCAAAGATATTGAGTAATAAGGTAATTGATTCTTCAAAACAAAAAAAAAAAAAAGAAAAAATACAACTACACAGCTAACAAGTTAGTATGTAATCCTACAATTTTCAAATACCACTTACTCTTCTTCACCCACGGTCCCTCACTTTCACTGCAGGAGAACACAAAGATAGAAAGTAAAATACGAGGTTAACAAACGACTCCTGCACCAACGAAAATCCCTCGCTGAGGAATTACCAAACTCAGAGATTCAACAACAGGACTCACGCCCGACAATGGCACACCGCGACTTCGCACCGTAACTACGGGGAAGTGATTTTTCACCTGCAACGAACGTTCATCGTCGCCATCGCGCGCTGCAAAAAAAAAAAAAAAACGAACGCCGCACGAAGAGACTCAGCCGCGCGCGACCCAGTTTTCACTTTTCTTCGATTCTCAAACGCATCCCTCCCCACACCTCTTCCCACCCGCTTCGTACTCGCGCAGCGAAACGAACGAAGCGAACTTTCAAACGCCGTAGTGAAAACAACGCCCGCGGCGCCGCTGCGTCTCTTCGAACGAATGATCACGGTCCCCGAGCATCCCCGTGACCAGGTTGCCAGTCCTCTCAGCCGCTCGATTCTTCGGAGAAAGTCTGTCTCGCAAGAAGAATCGCGTCACGTTCTCGCGAATGATTACAGATCGTCGGGGGACGTGGTCGGAGAATGGAAACACGATGGGAGGGGTGGGAAAGGGGAGAAAGATTGCAAAAGTTAGGATCTCGCGGGTGATCTGGAAGTTGGGGGATGAAATGGTCGCGAAACTCGTCGATCGGTTTCGAATTCCGTGAAAGGGACTGGGTAGAGTTCGAGCGTTGAGTGGAGTTTTCCAAGGGGGTAGGGGGAGGTTGGATTAAAAGGGTGGAAACGGACGTGAGGGGTCGGTCCGAGATCTCGAGCGGGCGAATTGATCCTGGTGACGAGGATCTCGAGAGGCCTGGGACACGCGGCCGTGTATGGTCTTAAAGTCTAACTGTATTCTCAGGGGTGGGTTGACAGGGGTGGGCTCGCAGCCTAAGGGCGACGTGAGCTTACCTTGCTTCCCCTTTCGTTAAATATGATTTCCACGTCGAGGATCGGCCCGAATTGCTGGAAAACAGAAAGCAGTCGTCTCGAGAATTCGTTGCAATGGTGTTAGGGATGGTTAACCTTTAGAGGACCGATCGTGTTTTCGAGTTCTCGAAAATTTCGCCCGCTCACCATCAATATTCGTACGAAATTCGTGTAAAATTGTTGCGATTCACTCGTGCGAGAAAGAAAATGGCGTTAGTCCTCTAAAGATTAATGAAAGTACGAAGATTGTTTGCCATTAATTATTTATCATTAGCCACTGATGTTTATAAAATGTTGCTTGAATATGAAAGAAATTTGAACCACGTTATTTAATACGATCATCAGTTAATATTTTTTTGGTAAGATCATTGGTTTTTGTATTGTAATGAAACGTGTGCGTATTGCGCCAATGTTCGTAGTAAAAAGTTGAATAATACTATATCGATACACTTGTTACTCAGAAGTTTACTTCAGATCTTGAGTTCTAGACATTGAGTTTTAAGTTATGATATCAAATTTGATAATAAAATATATAGACTCAAGTATTCGCGTGAAGTGGAATACGTAAATAACACTGTGAGACACGAGGTAAGATTCAGAATAAAAGAATGAAAACTGTAAAGAATAACGCGTATTAACCTTCAACTGATATCGCCGAGTCGAGACATTTAATTTTATGGCATTTCATTTTATAATGCTGCAATCAGTGTCCCATATTTCACGCGATAAAAACCACTAATAACAGTCTCCGTCACGTAAAATACACAAGATTAAATAAAACTATACACTCTAATATTAAGCATTATAAGTCAAACTACAACGATTAAAAACATCATATTGTTAACAATGTAACACATACATAAGATAAAAACTTCAAAATTAATATTGTCTTTTAATAATTATGTCAATTGATTGTATCATTAAACTTTAACGATCCAGCAATCAATTAAGTAATAGTCAAACGAAATTAAATTTCAAACGACACTGACGTGGTCATTGTAAATAATTGTAAATAATTATGTAGTAAAAATATTAATCAAAGATCGTTAATAATGAAAAAAAGAAAAAGAAATCGACAATCTTCAGAAGAAACAAAGACACATTGGCGCGAAAGGAAAATAATACTCACCCCGAACATTGCCCTGAGATCAGGGTCTCGGAAACGGAAGGGTATATTGCTGACGTGAAGGCGTTTTGGTTGACCTTTCAGATCGGAACCCTGTGTCGCGGTTGCAGGTGTGGTTGCACCTGAAGTGACAGGTACTAGGGTGCTGCCTTCGACGGCACCCTCAGGGTTGGTCTCGTTGCCAGCAGGCGTGGATGCTGGTTGTTGGCCACCACCTCCTGCAGCTGCAGCTGCCGCGGCCGCCACTGCTGCCTGAAACACCTCCGACTGTTGTCGAAGATCCAACAACCACATTAAAATCGTTATATATAGTTAGCATACATGTTTGATTCGAGACTGATCGGGTAATCAATTTCTAATCGTTTCTTTTCAAGTATATTCGATGACAGACGCGAATTAAAACAAAAATTCCGTGTATTATTCAAGATATTTTAAAATTCCATTAACACTGTGAGACGAGACTAACCAAATAAATATATGAAATACACAACAACTATAATAATTTTTTTATCTTCAAATTCTAATTGAATTACAAAATTTAATTGAACATCCCACGTGTAAGTAGAACAAAATAAAAATTTTCGCAAAATGTTCGATAGCAGATTTAGAGACGCGATCGTTAGCATTTCTGCACGACAAGCGTTGCAGGAGCCGCAAGTAGAGGCGGCTGTAAGTGGTCAGCCGCACGGCCGACCTTATCTGACTTGCGCCACTAACGAGGCTAAGTGAATACACGTCGCGTATAGTCAGACGCAGCTGCGTGAAATTCCTGGCCACGCCACTGGATACTAGCTCTGCCATCAACTTTATCACGTTTGTCACTACTTACATTCCCCCCTATAATAACTATCCACGACTGCTGAAACTAAAGCAATTTCAACCACGACTCTGTTATTCATAAACGCTTTGTTAGTACCAGATGCTTTGCGCGGAGAACTGGTAACCACATACTAGCATGATGTGCTTTGCAAAAGTGACTGTAATATATATGTAATGTATATTAGGTTATTGTTGGACAATTGATAGTAATGAAGAATTAATATTTCTGAGGATTTGATTTAAAATATAGGATATTGATAGAATATTTGTGTATTAAGTGTTTATAGGAGAGTTTGGATATTTTAGATGTTTTATATATTTTCTTGTATAAATTTTATGTTATCTCATTTTTCGATTACAGATTGTAAATTTCCGAGGAGGAATTACAGATTACTAATTAATTTTTGTATGATTTTATACCTGGACAATTAGATTGCTGTATTTTGTGAAATTCACTCGTTGAATTTTATTCCTTTAATTTCCAAATTTATCGACAGTAAAGAATTTTCTATAATTCTTATTATTAGATTGCGCGTATTTATGCAAATATGAATTTGTTTCACATACAAAATATTACAATGAAAAATTTGCTACAATACGTTCTATGCATCTTGATATAACGTACGTATTACAGTAAAGGAACTTGTGATGAAATTATAAAATTTTCGTTAATAATCAATGACTAAAAATAATTTCAAACTCTTGCAGAATTCGGTCGATTCTCAATTTTAGGATTCACGAAGTTAAAAAACGATAACTTAAAGTGGAATCTATTCATTTTTAATCCAATTTTCACTAAAATAAAAGAGAACATTTAAAACTTAAAAGAGAACATATTTAGACTAAACGGATTCTCAGTGGATTTAAAAGCGGTTTCAAACTCTTGTTCCAGTTTTTAAAAATTGGCGATTTTCTATTTTAGAATTATCGTAGAGTCAACGATCTCGAATCTAACTAAATCTTCGTGAATGTTCCACTTTTAATTTTTGAATACTTAATTCATACCGAAGTCTCGTATTTCATGATGCCTAAAATAATTATAAGCTTTACTTATTAAAGGTTCAAAATTCATATCGCAATATATTGATAAATATGTCAAAAGATACTAACTCTGAAACTTCTGACTCGGTATTAAATTCGTGGCCTTCTTTCTATTTCAGTGAGGGCCGAACAAAGTTAGAAAATCTTGATTTTCGTCGGAACGAATGAAGATCTGTCATTATTTCCTTCAACATCCAGATCGTCGAACGTCGTCTGATCGAAAACGAAATGAAATCCACAGTTGAAGAACGCCGTAGACGTGATGAAATTTAGATGGGCTAAAGAGCCTAAAGGCAGAGGTGCTTCCCTCTCCGTGGAAGACTCACGAATTATTCATCGACGATCGCCCACCCCGCTTGTCCGGTACTTCGTAGAGATTAGGGGATATATAGGGGACCTTCGATACGCTTTTGACGTATTCTGCGATGCACGAAGCTTGTTTCACGGTGGATTAAAACTTTGTCTCCTCGAGCCTCGGGAGATGAAGGGAGGAATGAAAGAGTGATGGCCACTTTCGTTTGGTATCTTCTTCGAGGATGAGATACATAAAGTGTACAAATGAACACATACAGGATATAAAATATGTGTGTAACAACATGCATGTATGTATGTATATATTCGTGAAGTTTCTAATGTCTAATCTTGAAACTGAATACCGATAAGAACGAGTCACGAAAAACTATGGAAAAGTTTGACAAATTCAACGAAGAGAATATCAGTTATAATGTTTGACGAATGAAACAACTTTTCTCCACGAAAAAAAATATAAAATTATAATTCAATCAAAATGTTTTTCGTCTCATTCGCGGGAAATAGGGGGGAGAAAATTTCATAAATGCAAAAAACGAAATTATGAACGAAGAGAAACTGGTTCGCGAGGGGATTAATTGAAAAAATTTACGGCGAAGGAGCGACAGAATTGGAAACGGAAGGCTCGTACATGAATTCTCTGCAATTTCGTCGTACTTTCTACCCCTGCTGTCGGGGCTGTCGAAGTAGCACGCGAAAACGAGGCCGATCGCGTTTAATCGAACGAAATTGCGCCATCCCGGCTATTTTCTCTCTCTCTCTTTTTTTTATTATTTGCTTCCTCATTCCAGTCCGCGCGGGACAATTTTACGAGCGTCGTACACCCGTTTCAATTAGACAAAATTATTCCAACTCGTCGAGCGGGCACACGAACCGATTTCGCTTGTAATTTATCGTTCCTTGGAAACAGATTTCTTTTTCCCTCTGTGTTTATTATATGCGCTTTTTCCGATACGTATCTCAGAGACGTTCATTTAGTTTGCATAAAAAAATTATTATTTTCAGAAGTTCTATATTCTGAATACGGAAAGAAATGTAGAACAATTGCAGAGAATTCGAAAGTTATTTAAATTCTAAGCTATTAGTACTACGTAAGTATTAGTACTTGCCAATCAAAGTTGTTCTATAATTACATCACTCATTCATTTTACATTAAAATAAATCATCATTGTTCTGATTAATACCTCTGTATTATTCAAATTATTAATCCGAAAGACATTTTACGGTCGAGAACGAAAATACAGAATACTTGAAGAGAAATATTAATAGCGAAAGAACATTCGAAGTATAACTTGATTTACACTAAACAGGAGTATGAATTGAATGACCACGATGAGAATTATATTTATACGTACATCTCAAAAACATTGGAACTTTGGAAAAAAAAAAAATTCAATTCGAACTTCATCCATTTCTGGATCCAACTCTTGATTACCAATGTCGATAATGAGACATTTGATGAAAATTTTCTATTTCGGGTCGACAGGCGAGAGTCAACAGAAATGAGAAATGATACAAGAACTTCCTCTATCGTGAATTTGCAATTTAACCAGGAAATTGGTTGCCCAACCCGGATCAGCGGAAGACTAATGATGCCAGTTCTCGGCCAGTGTTTTCCCGAAAGCCTCTTAGACCCGTGTCTTTTTGCGGTTAGTGCTTTAAAGGAATTGTGGAAGAAACAAATGACCAGGAGTTTTCGGGAACGATAAATTCCTGCCAGCGAGGAGAGGAATCCCTATTACTTATGTCAGCGGAAGGACCATCCTCGAGAGATTTACGAACGTTTCTCACGGGTTGATAATACTCGATCCGAAAAATCTCCTGTTGAAAAATAGAAACCTGTGTCACTCGCAGGCCGCTTATTTTCCCAGCAGAGAATATGAAAATCACTTGCAATTCCAAAGAGGTTTCTTCGAAAGTATTTTGTACTTTATTGTGTGCCTGCGGATATATTTGCAGGCGTGCATCTGCAAATATCTATCCTGCATCTTGTATCATTGTATAGTATAAAATGTACAACATTACACAAATATAATATATATAATTACTATTATTATATTTGTGTAATATTATAATTAATATAATAATATATCGATTATTATATTAAAATTATATGTAAATTATCAATTATTATATAAAAATATTATATATAAATTATTGATTATTCTATATAAATATTATAATTAATATATCGATTATTTTATAAAAATATTATAATATTTATATTATATATAAATTATCGAGTATTATATATAAATATTATAATTAATATATCGATTATTATATAAAAATATTATATATAAATTATCGATTATTATATATAAATATAATTAATATATCAATTTGAAAAAAAACGTATATATTACTTTCATAGAACTTTTATATATAAATATAATTAATATATCACTTTAATATATTAATATATTAATATATCACTTTTATATATAAATATAATTAATATATCAATTTGAAAAAAAACGTGTATATGATCTTCATAGAAGAAACAGAAAAATCGAATTGCGAAAATCAAACCACCTCGATTCGAACTGTAAAATTGCTTCGATTACCACGTAACTCACCAACAATTCCAATTTACAGACAAAAAGATGGTCACCCCCGACCCGGTTGAACGTGCATGAAATTATCCACCATTATCATTCGAGACATTCCCCCGTTTCCCGATACCCCGAGAAGTGCGAGAAGAAACCACCCGGTTTGTTCAACTGATCCCGGACTTCCCTTTCCTCGCTGGACAAACGCAGGAAATTATAAACTCCGGCATAAATCAACATGTCAGAGCCAGCGCGTTTTCCAACCTCATCAAACAACTATCTGAACCAATTACCCAACCCCCGGGCCGAGTCTCACGCTGGGAACAGTTACGAGAGCGCGTACAAACTCGAGAGCACGCGAAACTCTCTCGACCCTCGGGAAGGAGCCTCTGCAAGGGAAGCACCTCGAAAGCGGGAGAGGGCAAGGATGTAGACCCCTTATCGTGGAAAATTCACGAAACACTCGAACGGAACCCTCGAGACCGGTCTCCGCCGTATCGTATCGGTTAACGAGCGGGCAAGCTTCGCCCTGGCGAGGAATGGAAA